TTCATTAACAAAACGAGATACCATTCTTAATTGACGATCTTCAATAGATGTACTTCCTTTTGGTTCAAGTTTATATTTCTTCAAAATATCTAATGCTGAAAGATTAATATTTCTATTCTTAACATTAGTTTCATATATATATATTCCTTTGCCTGATTTTCTTCCTGAAAATAACATGTATTTCGTTAAATACACATACACAAAGAAATGTAAAATTCTATACAGACCCGCGAGGCTGTCTCGAGTTTTTATATACTATTACTTTGAATACGCGAAACAAGCAAGAGAGACAAATTAAACCGCAATGAATACGTGTATTTATATATATATATATATATTATTATTATATATAATATTAATTTTTGTTTATAGCATAAGAAAAAAATTATTCCAAAATCACTTATTTTTCAAAAATATTTCTAAAAAATATGTTCTGTTAATTTGTTTTTGAAATCATCTTTTTCGTGTATAATTGAATTACACGTCTGTATTATAAACTTTGCTTAAAATTATTTATTACTAACACTTTTATTTCAATATGTGTTTAAATGCAGCAAGCAAAGAACTGCGAGATATTTTTGATTTTACTAAAAAAATCGTCCGATAGTTTGCCCAGGTAAGGAGAGATACGCCTCACGATATTATATAATAAAAAATTGAATACCTAGAAAACCAGCTTTAACCATGTCATTGAGTATATTTATATCTCCACTATTAAAACGTTCACCTAATGCCTTTACAAGATATGCACTTATGTGAGCACCAACATCAATTCCAACTTCATCTGATAAAGTAGCTGCTCCAACAGGAAATCCAAATTTTTTAGTTAAATTATCCAAATCTATAGGATCTACACCTTCCTATTTTCATTGACATAATTTTATATCATGTACTTTATAATGTATATATATGTTGTATATACATAGTATATTATATATGTATATTATATATTCTTATTGTATTATATACCGAGTATCTTCAAAATCATGATAAAAACAATTATGTGATGAATCTATGTATAAAAATAGAAAAAAAAATTTTTTATTTAAGACTTTATTTTCAAGTTTGAAAAATTTTCAAATATTTTTTTTTGATTTATTTTTATATTATCTCACTTGTATCATGATTTCACAGACATTCTATATAATAATAAATAATAAATATAAAAAAATAAAAAAGAACTACCTGCATTAACCTAATAGCTTCAGATAATAAAGCACTCAGTACTCTTGTTGTATAAAATCCAGGACCATCTCCAACAATAATAATTGTTTTCCCTTGTTTTAAGCCTACATCAACTGCAGTTTTAATTGTTTCAGTCGATGTTCCTTTATGTGTTATTATTTCTAATAATTGCATTTTATCTACTGGAGAGAAATAATGCATTCCAATTACCTATAAAAACATAATTTTACTAAATTAAATTAAAGAAAATATATTAAATATTATACTTACTTTATCTGGACGATTACTTCCAGCAGCTATTTCATTAATAGAAATTCCTGATGTATTTGTTGCAAGTACACAGTAATTTGGTGTATTTGCTTCAATTTCTTTTATAACTTTATGTTTAATTGTAATATCTTCAAATACAGCTTCAATTACTATATCTGCATTTTTAAATGAAGTATAATCTAATGTAGAATCAAGTTTAGAAAGATATTTATTTTTTTGAAGGCTAAAAATAAATTTAAGAAAAAATAATAAAATTTGATAATTTGAAATTTTTTATGTATTCATACATGTGTATAAACATGTATCATATTTTTAATGAAAAATTAAGAAACTTTAAAAACTAACTTAGAATATTTTTTTTTTTCACAGCAGCATCCATTCCTTTCTGTATTTGATTAACACCACGGTATAAAGCAGTTTCATTTGTATCTTTTATAATTACATCAAAATCTTTATCTATGCTTACTTGAACAATACCTGCTCCCATAAGACCAGCACCAACAACAGCAATTTTTCTAAAATATATATACAATTAATATTTTGCAAGAAAAATTACTTATTTTTACATGGTATATATAAAAATATGCATACTTAACAGCATTTTTTGGCACTCCAAAACGATTTTTTTTACAAGTAGTTTGTCCAAAGAATAAATTTATAAGACCTTTACATTGAGGTGTAATTGCTAATTCGCCAAAAGCTTTAGCTTCTGCTTCATAACCAACTTTTGATCCCTTATCTAAACCAATACGTATTACATCTAAGATTTTAAGAGGTGCAGGATATAAACCCCCAGTTTTCTTCATCACTTCTTTTTTTGTTCTATTAAATACTTGATCCTTTATAAAATCAAAGGATAATGCATAATTCGTAAGTTTATCAATTAATGTTTTAGAACTTCGATCAATATTAAAGTTTTATTTGTAATATCTTGTGCAACTTTAATAGCAGTCTCTTCCAAATATCTCATTGTACTGGAAATATTTTAAATAAAATTTTCATACTTTCTATAATATATATTAAATCTATGTATATATATATATATATATATGTCTATATATAAAAATGTATCAAATCTTACTTTTGTTCTGGTGTTCCAATGCCAAAACCAAGACGATTTACTAAAAGATCTACAAGTCCTATTTGCTTAGCTTTAATTGCTTTAACTTGTTTACCAGTGAGAATCATATCTAGAGTATTAGGAAGTGATATTAATTGAAGTAATCTTTGTGTACCACCTGCACCAGGTAAGACACCTAACATTACTTCTGGTAAACCTAAACTAGTTTTTTGATCATTTACAGCAATTCGATAATGACAAGCCATAGCCATCTATATCGATTAAATAAAAATATGAATAATAATGAAAATTATAGATCTTATAAAAATAGAATATATAAATTTATTAAATTATATACCTCTAAACCTCCTCCTAAACAACTACCTTGAATTGCAGCTATAATTGGTTTTTGATTTTTCTCTATTTTTTCAAAGATTTTTTTGAGCTTCAGAAGCTATTTTATAGCCATCTTCTGGAGTTTTAAAAGAATGTATCATATTAATATTAGCACCAGCAATGAAGCAACCTGGTTTTCCACTTATAAAAATTATTGAATTTACAGCAGAGTTTTGTTCTATATTTTTTAGAACATCAACAATTTCATTCATTACTTCTGAATCTAAAGTATTTACCTATCATATTTACAAGTAAAAATTAAATTTATTTTATTTATTAAATTATTTGTGAAACTAATAGAATTATATATACCTTAACTCCTGGAGAATCTAAAGTAAGAACTGCTACATTGTCCACAACTTTATATTTCAAATGTTTTAAATTTGTTGGTATACTCATTGCTCTCATTGATTTATATAATGCTGAAAGTAAAATTTACAATAAAATCAAAACAAAAATTATACAAATTTTTGTACAAATTTTATTATTTATTTCAATAATTCTTACTAAAAATTTCCTATTTATTTCATACTTCTCATTATTATTTCCTATTTATTTCCTATTTATATATTTATTTCCTATTTATGTCATACTATTTCTTACTTTGCATACATATTTTCATACTTTATCAATATTTTTATATTATATACATAAATATAATATGTACAATATTGTATACAGTGCTAATTTTTATGTGACATAGATATATTATTTAAGAACAAATGTTCATATAAAAATATAACTTTTTTTATATATAATTACCTGTTCGTGTTGCTATATTTTTACTAATATGCGAAACATTTGCAAGTGTACCCAATAATCTATATTGCGACATGTTTTTAAAATATTAAAACACCTATCCTAGAAAACTATTATTTGCACATGGAAGACTGTGAGAAAATGAAATATTACGCATGCGTATAATCATAGGTATTAACTTGTGTATAATTATACTAATTTACTATATGTTTGAATTTTGACATTTTTAATTACAACTTATTATATTTGAAAAACATAAAAAATAATAATTATATAATAATTATATTTCAGGATTCAATTCTTCAATTCTTTAATTCTTTTAAAAAATTAAATGTTTTTTGAATAATGACTTAATTTAATTTTCTAAATATTAAATATTTTTAAAATAAAAATATATATATATAATACATTATATATTTATTTTATTATTATTATTAAAAACATTTATATATTATTATTATTAAAAACTTAAATGTTTTCATATAATAAAAATGTTAATAATAATTGATTATATATATTTCATACATTTGATTAATATGATTTATAAAGTTAAATAATAGTAGAAGACAAATAATATGATTATTATTTTAAAATTAAATAAAATTTGTAATCAATTCAGCAAAAATTGATATCGATGTACACATCGATACAATTTTATGCAACGAAAAATTGATTTTGATATCAATATTTAACTATCCGATTAAAATATATATAATAAATAATTAAATCATGTGATTTACTTATTTTCTTTTAAAAATTTGGCATCATAAATAAATTATATGTATATATTGATATTATATGTACAATATCTTATGATATGATATTTTATGGGTATATCTGAAGTCTTTTTATTTTATCTATATAGTTTATACATTATATATATAGTTTATACATATACATTGTTAATATTATTTACGTAGTATTTTAATATTAGTGTTTATTATTATAACGTTATTGTTTGCTAAATCATTTAAATAATTATTGAAACAATAAATTAATATTATGTATATACTATGTACTTTAATAAAATTGTATTATTCGATATTCAGTATTATCAAATAAGAAATTCTTATTATGATTTAGAATATTTGTTTATTTTTAGTTAATTTAAGAAGATTGAAAGAATTATAGTTTTAATTTTGATTATTAGTAGTTTTGTAGTTTTATTCTATACAATTTTACAAATGAAAATAATAAGGCAATTTATGAATTTGCAAATTGAATTTCATGATAAGACATTAAATATTTAATGCAAAAAATATTATATGTTTATTTTCAATATTCAAAACAAAATATACTTTTTATGTTAAATATATGATACGAATGTATAATCATAATATACGAAAATGTTCAATGTTCAACTAGAATAAAAAAAGAATGTAATATTTGTAATTAATCTTAAATGAATCTTTGAAAATATTTTTACAAAAATAATACAGAATGTTAGATGCCAAAACATTTTCATATAAGAAATATTTAATTGAAGCTGTCATAGCTCTAGTGTGTGTGTTTATTTTTTGTGAATATTTATTATATTATCTTGTGCTTATTCAGGTAAGTTTTATTGGCATATATTATATTTGCAAAATTCAAAATTTTTATATTTTATATTTAATATAATAGTGTACATGGCCTATTTTGGAACCACATAAAATCGATATGACTATTACTCAAATCAAACCAGAAGAAACTCCTGTACATGCAATGTTTATAGCAGATACTCATTTATTAGGTTCTAAACATGGACATTGGTTTGATAAATTAAGAAGGTAAATTAAATGATTAAATAAATAATAAGTAGTTTAATTTCTTAAAAATAAATTTTTTCTCAATTAAAATTCATGTTCTTTTTTTATAGAGAATGGCAAATGTATAGAGCATTTCAAACTATGATTACACTTCATAAACCAGATATAATTTTTATATTAGGTATTTAATAAAAATTTTTAATGATGAAAAATAAAATTAATTAATAAATATATTATAATAGGTGATTTATTCGATGAAGGACAATGGAGTAGTTCTACAGAATTTGATCAATATGTACAAAGATTCCATTCATTATTTTCAGTACCTAAACATATTCATCTTTATGTTGTTGCTGGAAATCATGATATTGGATTTCATTATGGTAAAATATTTTTAATTATATAATATTTTTAATAATTACAATATTAATATATTATTATATAAATATATTTTTAATCAAAAAGTATTTTTTTAGGAATTACACCATATTTAAATCAACGATTTGTAAATGGTTTAAAGTCACCAAGTGTAAAAAGAGTTAGTATTAGAGGAAATCATTTTGTTTTAATTAATAGTATGGCATTGGAAGGAGATGGATGTTTTTTATGTCGTCCTACAGAAATTGCATTAAATAAAATTGCTAGTAAGCTTAATTTTTGTTAAAAAATTAAATTATATAAATTAAATGAATATTTACCAAAATTTATTAAAACATATATAAATAAAAATATTTTTCAGCACATTTAAAATGTGCAAAAAATACAGGAAATAATTGTAACAAAGATAATGTAATTTCAAGATATAGTAGACCAATTATTTTACAGGTTAGTAAATAATTTTATTTTATAAAATAAAAATGATAATATAATTTTTAAATTAGCATTTTCCAATGTATCGCGAATCTGATGAAATTTGCAATGAACTTGATCAAGCACCAGATGAAATAAAAGATATCAAGTTTAGAGAACGATGGGAATGTTTATCAAAAGAAGCATCTGAACAAGTATGTAAATATTCTATAAAAATGATTGATCTAAATGATTATAATTAAACTTATATAAAAAGATTTGTATAGCTTTTAGATATATTGAATCCAAGACTTATTATTAATGGACACACCCATCATGGCTGTAGAAGAATTCATAGAAAAGATATATTGGAATTTACAATATCATCTTTTAGTTGGCGTAATAAAGATAATCCTTCACTACTATTGGTATGTTCTAGAGTTTAAAAAAATATTTAATTCAATTTTATAATTTTATATTATTATATTAATATTTTATAATATTATATTATTATGAATTTTTAAAATGTATTATATTTCAGGGTGTATTTACTCCCAATAATTATTCTATATCAAAATGTTATATGCCTGTAGAATCTACAGAAATCAAAATTTATATTGTCAGTATAATGTGCATTTTCATATATTTTATTATAAAATGTAAATTAAAACAAAATCGATATTATCTTTTAAAATTTCATTAAAAAGATTACTATATATTATTATATATTACTATATATTAATATCAATAAAAAAGCAAAAAAATTACAAATATATAATTATAAACATAAGAAAAAACATAGAAATATAAGCCTCAGATTATTGAAAAATATTTGTCTTTATATATATATAAAATCTTTAACGATATTAATTACATTTTATTTACATTATTTATAAAATATTTATCTTATTTATTTTTATTCAAATCAATACAATAATTATACTTCAACTTTATCAAATTTTGAAAATTACTTTATTTTATATATTTTAATTTTTGTTTTTCATTATTTTACGAAACAGTTATTCTATTGAAAAAGAAATTGTATACAAATATGTATAAAAGAATAAGAATATTAAAAATCGCAAATATAATCAATACACATTTATAAAACTTATATACAACTATATGTTTAGTTATAATATATCAATATTAAAAATTTCATAAAATACTATACAGATACTAGTACAGATTTAGTAATAGATTTAGTAATACTTGAATAATTGAAAATACAGATCTTTATAATTATGCCAAAATTAATATTATATAATAATTGATAAATCTTTTAAGTGATATAATATATATTAAGAAATAATGAAGAAATATACTTTTAACTTATTTGAACATAACTGATTATTAATATTATATGCATTTAATGCATTTTTATTTGTTAACAAATAATTATAAATATAATTTGTAAAATTTTCATCTTATTGTAATAAAAAACAAAATAATTATGAATTAATACTACTATTGTACTGATATTGATTATAACTAATATACTAAGTAAAGTGGAATAGATAGTACATTTAAGAGTACTAAGAAAATAATTCTACATGCAAAAATAAAATTGAAAAAAAAAAAAAAAAAAAAAAAAAAAAAAAAAAAAAAATTCTAATTTTTTTTTTACATATTGAATCTCTCTCTACCCAATAGTACAATTTATCCAACTTCATTATGTATAACTTATAATATTATTTATACTTAATAAAAATGTTATAATTATATATTTTTTATATTATTTAAAAAAAAAATAATATTAATACTTAATTAATAATTTATGCATTTCTATATATGAATATGAAAATAAAATGTTTCATTTTATAAATTATAAGTACTTTAATACAAAATTTTTTTAATATTTAAGATTTAATAAAAACTGAAAATTATGTATTAATAATGCAATGAATGAAGTTATACATCATTCTCTTTAATTACAATTTTTTCTGTTCATTCATAAATTTTACATATTTTTCATTATAAACAGAACAATTTTATAATATGTAAGAATATTATTTGGTAAATATAGTTCTCATTTGTAACCAAATGAAATTAATATATTGAAACTGAAAATAAACTATTGTACTATTTTGGTTTCACATATATTTCATTTAAAGTAATTAAATATTTTTTGTAACACATATTGAAATAGTGTTACTTTTCTTAATCACTGATAGGATCAATGATTGACTAGTCTATTTTTACAGCAGCATATATTTTTCGAATAAATGCATAAGCTGCAAAAAATCCTATTGTACCAGTTAATAACCAAAATGTTAAAACCATTAATCCAGTGTAACCAAAATACAAAAGTGTTGGAATTAGTTCTGTTATTTCTAATTTTGTCATAAAATAAAAAATTGAATAAGCTAAAACATATACAGCTGATCCTCCACTGACAATAAAACTTCTCCACCACCATCGATAATCCTAATGAAGAATAAGATATATAATATGTATATATATTATATAAGATTGAAAATAATTATTTATTACTTACTTCTCCACATAATTGAAAATAGACCATAACTATAGAAATTTGAGAGCAAGAAATAACAAGTATACAGAAAACTAGAAAGAGGAATCCAAATAGATAATAAAATTGATTTTCCCACAATGCAGTTAGGATGAAAAATAATTCTATAAAAACAGCACCAAAAGGAAGAATTCCAGCCATTAATGTACTATAACAAATGATAAATATATTTAATTTTTAATGTAATATTTAATAATAATGTAATGATTTCTATGTAAAATAAAATTATATGTATGCTTTCATACTATTTTTATACACTTACCATAGTATTGGATTCATATACCATAATTGATCAGGAACTTGTCTTGGAATTTGATTTGTTCTAACAGGATGTGTAAATGGTTGTTTACGATATCCAAAGAAATATCCAAGATATACAAGAGGAAGTGAAATACCAAACCATAAACACAATAATGCTAACATTGTTTTAAATGGTACTGCGCCTGAACTATGCTTTCCCCATATAAAAAAATTTAAGAAGAAACAAGTAGTAAATACTATTCCAGGAAAAAGCGTTGCTGTCTATAATAAATTATATGGCAATGTAAAAAATTTTGTTCCATTTTTTAAATTTTATACCAATTATATTAATATGTTCTATATTTACCAATAACGCAGTTCTTCTCCATTTTCGACCGCGCATTGTTTTATAAAGACGTGCAGAAAAATATCCAGCAATTAAACCAGAAAATACATACAGAAATATTGCACATGTTCCAAGTGCACCTCTACTAGCTGGAGAAAGCATTCCTAACATTGCAAAAACTGAAAATATATCATAAAAGTAACAAAAATATTTTAATAATAATATATTTCTCATAAAAAAATATAAATTCTTACATATCGTGATTAAAGCCATAAAAAATATTTGTATTCCACTGCCTATTACAGCAGCAAATAACCGAGGATTTGGAGGAGGTCGAAATACATCTCCATGAACAAGTTTCCAACCAGTTTCTTCAATTGTTTCATCTAAGCCTGCTAAACTATCGCTCTCACCAGCATTGTAACGTGCAATATCTCTTCTTAGAGTTCGAACCATGATCATTGTTAAAATCCCTATATAATTTTATTAAAAATTTTTATATATTTCAAAATAATTTAAGACAAGCATCAATAATTTAAGAAAATATATCATAAATATTTACCAGAAAGAAAAATAACTACAATAAGTGAATTGATGATTGAAAACCAATGAATTTCAACATCACTCATTCCTAGATATATGTCCCATCTGCTTGCCCAACTTACATCAGATTGCTTCCAATCCACAGTATATAAGAATAGAAGTTTGGTTCCTTTAGGGTTAACAAATTGAAGATTTGCCTGAGGATGTGAGGGTAGTATACAAGTAGTTTTATCAAACTTTAGTTGACTTACATCAACTGAATGAGCTTCTACTTCAAATCCAACTACTCTAAATTCATTTCTATGAAAGATAAAAAATAATTATATTTTGATATATAATTTATATGTCAAATAATATTATTTATACTAACTCTCCATATTTATGATAACTTAATTTTAATTTAAGATAATTATTAATGTAATATTGGCCATTCATAATACCACCCAAACGATATCCATGATATACAATTACATTATTTGTATCTTTCTGAACTTTTTTTGTTGCTGCTGGCAAATTATCAATTAACCTAAGAATAAAAAAAGTTATAACAAGTACATATATAATACAAAATATAATTTCATATATACTTACAAATGTACAGTATAATCATGTTGAATACGTTCTATAACAAGTTGTGATTCTTTTTCATTCCATGTCATAAGTTCATTTGGTCCATGACATAATAATCTACACATTATGTTTTCTGCCATTGATACTTCATATGGTGTACTTACAATTCTATATAAAAATAAATTAAATAAATTCTAAAAAATAAAATCTAATAATAATAATAATAAATAATAAGTCCTTACCTGTCACCACGTAATACTTCTCCTAAATTTTCTGATTTATAATCCTTACTTCCATTTTTTGGTACACAAAAAGGAATAGAATAATAATCATATGGTAATTGTGTGTGAGTACTGGTCATTTTAACTGCTTTAACATCAATTTTTTGTCCCTTTTTAAATTCTACTGGAGCAACACCAGGCACATAAAAGCCATTTGTTTCAATTAATAAGCATATTATTACAAATATTGCATTGCTTTTTTTTAATCTCCCCTATTAATAAGAATGTAATATATAATATTTTTATTAAGGTAATTAAAAACAATTGATACTTTTTAATAACATCTATAATTGCAATGAATATAGATTTAAACATAATTTATTCATAAATACAAATACAAATATACATGATTATTTACAATAATGATATGTTTTAATAATTTCAATTTATTATTAAACTAATATTAACACTTAAGATATTTTTTCGTAACTATGATAAACAATGCCATTAAATTTCTGACAGGACTAATAGAATTGTATTTTATGATTACCATCATTGCAAAGTTAGAAAATATTATATTAAAAAAGAACTACTATATTTGATTAATAAACATTTTTTTTTATAATATTTTATCTTAAGTATTAAACAAAAATAATAAATAAGATACACTTACCATTCTTTAATATTGTTTTCGTTAGAGGCGCGCCACGCCGTATGCCTTATTTTATTCTTAATTGCTGTTCGTTTCTACTGCGTTCACGTCAAAAATGAAATTTATTTCAACATGAAGTTTATAGACATTTGTTAGTAAAATAATACAAGAATGATGCTTTATAAAATTCCCTAGTAAAATGATATATATATTACTCTATATTATGATATTTATCAATAGTAACTTTTATCGATTTAAATTATTTAAAAAAAAACTTTATAATTTTTATAAGCATATATCATTTATATTTTATTAAATTTAAGTATTTAATTGCAAAATTAGAATAAACATTAAATACTTTCTCTATTCAATAATTTTAATTATTTAGATTTTATTAAATAATATAATATTTATTTTAAAAAATTTATTTTATATATTTTTAGTTTAATAATTTTATTTTTTTAAAGATCAATATAATTATAATAATATAGTATGATACGTTTTCAGTGTGATATTTGAAACATTAATTTTCCTACAAAAAATTTGTTTCTGAATTTATTCTTAAAATTCCCGCAATTTTTTATCCTTGCAATGAAAAGGAAGTGAACCTTTTATAAATATAATATATTATTTAATCAACTATTTAATCTATTTCATTTCTATAATTATAAATTTAATATTCATAAATAATATAATCATTATTTTTAAATCTGTAAAACTCTATTTTTTATTAAAAAATGGAAACATTTTTGCTATATAATAGAAGGTGTTTTGATCAAGCTTTTCCGAGCGAAAAAATATATCCCCGAAAAGGAAAATATCGTCCCACGTGGGGACTCGTTTAATTACAAGTTACGTTATTTAGATATGCATCTGTTCGGTTAATTTTTATTTCAGAACAATGGTACAAGTAAGTGGAAACTTTTAAGTATATTATTTTAATAAATTTCTTCGTAAATTGTCTAAATCAATGCATTTTTCTATCAAGTCTATTGGAAATTTTTGATTGTTTTTTTTTCCGTTGTCATCCATTAGTAAATAGGAAAGATGGCAGCAGATTATTGCGCTTTTTTCCCGTACATACATGGCTCCGACATTTTTCTTCAAATTAAGCCTTTCTATAAATTTTTAGGTGAAACTTATACAAAAACATTGGTTACGTTTCGATTTTATGAACAAAATTTAGCGCGTATTTCATTTTTTAAATAAAATGTGATTAATATTGAGATAAATAAGTTATATAGTGATTTTTATATATTGAACTTGTGTAAAATACGGAAGACGATAGAAAAATTTTAAGTGATATTGTTAAAGAATATTTAAATTTACGTGAAGTAAAAATTTAATGTTTTATAAATGAATTCATTGTGAAACACGTATTTATAAATATTTTTTTTAAACAAAATATGACAATAATGAGGGTAGATTTTTCTTTATATATTTAATTTGTATTCAAGTTTTATATTAAATTGAATATATATTTTTAACAATGAAAAATTATGTTTACAGGCAATTGATGAAATGGAACAAAGAGATCTTCCACAGGCATTTCGCTTGCTTGGGGAAATGAATGCTAATGTCCTACAAGTTAATCAACTTGTAGACAATATGTTAGTCCGTGTCAAAAATGGAGAAATTTCTACAGATAAGGGTCTTAGTTTTCTAGAAATGAAATATCATATGTTACTTTCTTATTTGATTAATTTAACTTATGTGGTTTTGAGAAAATGTTCTGGAGAACGTATAGAAGGAGATCCATCAATTGATCGCTTAATTGAAATAAGAACTGTCCTAGAAAAAATCCGACCAATAGATCACAAATTAAAATATCAAATAGATAAACTTGTTAAGACTGCTGTAACTGGTACTATTAACAATGATGATCCAACTAATTTTAAAGCAAACCCAGATGCATTTGATAGTAATGATGAAGAATCTGATAGTGATCAAGATAAAGTAGATGGTTTCAAATCAATACAGGCAAGAAAATCTAATATTTATGTACCACCAAAACTTGCTGCAGTACATTATGGTCAGTATTTATGAATCTATATTGTATGCAATGATTACAGATTCATATATAATTTTTCAAAATATGTTTGAATATCTTATTTTTTTTATTCATAGATGGAGATGAAACAATTACTGAAAAAATTCGTAAAGCAGGAGAAAGAGCTCGCAGACGTGCAGTGTCAGGTGCTGTTTTAAGAGAATTAAAAGAAGAATATTTAGATGCTCCTATTGAAGATAAACATGGATTAGCAGAAAAGCAAGCTAGTCTAGGTCGAGAAAATAAGCGGAAGATAGAATATGAAGAAAATTATATGACGCGTTTACCTGTTACTAAACAAGAAAAACACAGACGTCATCAAATAACAACTATTGGTACACTTGGAGAAGAAATTACAACTTTTGGAGAATCATCTTCAGTATCTGCTAAAAAGAGAAAAGCTCAAAAAAAAGGCAAAGCTAAAAAAAGTAATTATTTTATTTCATTAAATATGCTTATTTTGTATGTAAATGTTTTTTAATATATTATATAAAATAATTTGATTTTTTTTTAGGTTTCAAGAAAAAACGGCATCATTAAATCGAGTTTATAAAAATTTAAAAAGCTGAATTTCATACAGCATTAATAATTAAGGTAAAATGCAAATTTACTTCAATTCTTCTTGACAAATGCAGATGCCATAATACTCGTTAATAAGTTAAGATAATAACTCATAAACAACTAGTTATAAAAAAAAAAACAATCGTCGACGGTGAAATAAAATAGCACGATGGTAATTTATTACTACATAAGACATACTAATGGTGTAATAATTGATAATTATAGTTAATAATGATTTTAATCTTTAATTGTTGTCTAAAATCAATTTTTATCTATGGGGTTGAAATATTCCATAAGTCACAAAAAATTTTCTGATGATATTAAGTACATGAAAAAATGTCAAAGTACATACGAGCTTAACTTAAAAATGTGTATAATTGTGACAATTAATGAAATAATGGATTTCGGCTCCAGGATCTAAAATTGCAAGTTAAACGTACAAGTTGAAAGCAGAAAAATTTTCTGCTTTATTTTAAGATATTCTGCTATAGATGAAAAAACCAATAACATAGCAGGAAGGATGATATTGAATTAATTGTTACAAAAGCGTAAAAATCACAAGACATTCAATGCAAGAATTAGAAAATTCAAGTTTAACAAAAAATGATTTTAGAAATTGCAAGTATTCTGCAACTTCTAAAAATATTGTTCATCGTGCGATATCGCGTGTCTTAGGATTTTCTCGCTATTTTAGAGTAGAATGTAGTAGTTAATAGTTTTACTATTATATGTATGTTTCGTTTGTGTTTTTCCCCTGGTAAACTGTTGAGGCTATTATATCTTGATATAAGTCATCATTTATGTTAAGTTTAATTTTTTATAATGTGTTTATGTATTGTATTTGTTATTTTAACTTAGATTGATTTGATTAAGTTGTTAAACTTATATTAAAAGTAATATAAGGATAACACGAATGTGTCAAAATTCAAAATTGATATTGTCAATTTCTCAATTTCTATTTAGGTTTACTGTATTTAGTTTTTTAGAGAGAGGGTATGTGTGATATTAAAAGAAAAACTAATATACGAAGACTAGAGCGAAAATCACTTCTGCAATAGAATAGAATTTGTACAATCAAATTATAAGAAATATCCATATCTTGTGCTTAAATAGATTTCATTTTTTAAGTATTAGATGTAACTTTGGGTATTTTTTTAAACCCAAAACTAACGTTTCCTTTTAAAATAAAGGAAGAATGATATCAAATGCATTTAATATAAATTATTACATGGATATTTGTATCCAGTAATTGTTCCTGCAGAAGTGATACGCATTACCTTCAAAAATACTAATTCGTTATATGCTATAACCAAGGGCTCAACCATCCATAGATGTTATATTTTTTACAGAAGTGTTCATAGATTGAGCCAACTTGGTAATGCATGATGTTACATATGCCCTCTCTTTTTCAATCTGTGAAGACGATTAAAATGTGATAAATTATTCATGGAATAATAGTTAAAGAAACTAACAGAATAGCACAATTGCTGGGCATTATTTACAAGTGCTAGCAAGCCTAATGTCAGCAGCCTTGTCGTATTTGGTAATGAAGTTGGAATACTGAATAGCGGGAAGATTTTGATTAATAATGAAGGTATACTTAAAAAATCTCATGCTCGTTTAATGTACGGCATGCAAAATAATTAATGCAAAATTACAATTGGTTTCAAAATTTGCCCGACATTTAGTTTTCTCATACTTTAAACATAGATGATAATTTTTGAAACACACTTACAACTGAAATAACTGTAAGTCCAAAATAATAAGTCGTGTGTGAGTGTGTGTGTATATTTATATATACATATATAAATAATATATATTCATCATTTTTACTTTCTGAACTGTTTATAAATACTCATTGAAAAATATCATAATGTTGTTTGCAATAGATAAAAGAGATTTGAATTAAATAATATTTATATCTTTATGATTAAATCTGTTTGTTAAACATAAAGTTCTTGATATGTTTACATATTTTGGACTTATAGTAAAAGTGTATGGGTGTAAAAAATATTCATATGAAACACATATCCACACACAACATATAGCAGCAAAATAATAGGATTACATTGAATACACTACCTCAAATCAATAGAAATATGGATTTACAATAATAGAACTGCATCAGTTACGTTTACATTGTTGTGTTATTGTTTATTTATACATTTACTGATAACGTAATTTTGTTATGAAATATATGATACATATTATGCCTTATAAAAAAAAATATTTAGAGTTTGTTATCTCTTTGACCTGCTTAGCAGGTATGAATTTTTTAGCAATGTACAAAGAAAGCACAAAGTATGTAAACGTTACTGTGAGCAGGGAGTTTAAAGTAGTCCTTCAAATCCAACAACGCTGCCGAATACCAAACTAAAAAGAAAAACAAAGTATCTTTGCAGCAAAAACGAGATAAAAATGATTTATTGACTACATTCATAGTCTGAAGAATGTAATGTTTCATTTATTAATGAATTTTGTATAATTTATGTACTAAGACAATTCAATGTATGTGAGAGAGCGAGAACGCGTGCGCGCGAGAGAGAGAGAGAAAGATAATTGTATATTACAAATGGTTATTATGAATGAATTATTATTATTATAAATTAATATTATTATTATAATTATTATGATTATTCTGATTATTATTATTATATTATCATTATCATGATCATCATCATCATCATCATCATGTAGAATGCTTCTTACTGACTGAATAAAATGTTTTCAATGTCAATAATTTATTTATATATATGTAATAAGCTTATGTTGTATAATATGAAGTCATATGAAATTAACAAAACTGTTTTCAATTAGATTCTTTTACTAGTGAATTCTAAACATGTTGGTATCATTGTTTTAAATTTAAGACACTTGAATATATCTTCGTAACGTATGTCAACGGCATATCTTACCAATTTCTTTCAGACGGTCTGCCTGTCGTTGATCTGTGGCACGGCCGACGTGGTGGTAAGTGTCTTTTTAGCGATAAAAATTTAAATATAGATAACTATTTTTTGAATGTAGTAATTTGGTTAAAATATTAAACGTTAAATATTTGATATAATGTATGTTAGCTTTCATAATTTTAGATTTTATAATATTAGTCATATTAATTACTGCATTAATAGAATTTAGTTTTTTATTACTTATATATATCAAATTTTACTTATGTCATTTATTTTCTATTTTATATAATTTTAATAAGTTATATTTTCTTCCATTTTTTTTCTTTTTTATTCCCTTCCACTTTTCCTTTCCCACTCTTGTTTTCTCCTTTCTTTTGCTTACTATCTCTCTTTGTTCTTTGTATATTTTCCTTCTTCTTCTAACGTACCTTTCAAGATGTCGAAAGTGCCAGAGGCGCTCGCATGGGGACCGTATAAATTATTTTTATCTCTACGTAGACCACAGTAAAATAACCTGCTATTGTAAAGAGTCTATGTTTCGCATCAACTTCACAACTGTGATAAATATTGTTAAAATTTACGTTAGTATATATTAAATGTTTAATTTTTTCTTTTCTTATTAGTAATTATTTTCTTCATAAACCACTCTTTTCCTTAGTTATTTTTAAATCACCCGCGGCGCAAAACTATACATCGAAAATTTAGAATATACTTTTCAAAGTAATTAAATTTAAGATAGTAATATATTCCGTTTTTCTTTAATATTAATCTCATCATGACCTCTTGTTATTAAAAAAATATAAATATAATAACATTAATGATACATTAATAACATAATAACATTTATATATATATTAATTCTACAAATAATCAAATATCGAATAATGTCATGTTACAAAAACATCCCATAGTTTATGAAAAAAAATCAGTTATATGTAAGTATATTGTTATTTTATTTCTATTTTTTTCAAAATAGATTATATATTCATGTCTTCTTAACTTTATGAAAATATATATTTATAATTATATTTATATATATATTATAATTATGAATATATATATTTATAATTTTAAATAATTAGAGATTATGTTTAATTATAATTTTATAAAATTATATTTAATTTCTAATTATTTAATAAATTCTTTTATTATAATATTTATTTTCTCATATTTTTTTTTTTATTTAAGATTAAAAAGAATGGCCGCTACACAACTAAATCGAGCACGAACCATCAAGAAAGTTGAAAAACCTCGACCGCTTAAACTTAATCAACGCCACGCGACCGTCGATGGGCGGATTACGACTGGTAATTATATTTTATTATAATTATATTTACATTAATTTATTTATATAATTTTTTTTCATATTATATTTAAATATGTATTAAATATATATATATATATATATATATATATATATATATTGTATT